TGAACATTCAAATACTATCTTACCAAAATCAATATTTATATATGATATAATGAACAACTTTCATGTAACTCTTTATCTCATGATGTCATAAAACAAAGAATCAAAGTAAATTTCTATTACATTTTTTTATAATGGATTTAAGATTTCATTTCAAGGAACTTTCGATTGTATAGTTAAAATCATGAGTCCATTGAAGCTAGACCAACATGGAAAACCTGGAAGGACTGGTCGGCTGTTTCGTCCAATTGTGGGACCAGTGGAGTTCAACCTGGTTTGTTGTGGGCTAGTAAATCATTGAAGACGATGGTGAATGGTTGCTTGATTTCGTGGATTGGTTGAAGTTAGTCATTAACACCGTTGGATGGCAGTCAACTCAGTGGTCGCGCACGAGACTGATATGTCCTGGGTTCGAATCTCGTGAGGCATGATAGTGGATGCGATTGCTGAGCAGTCTCACAATAAGACGAAACGGCCGTCCAGTGCTTCCTGGTTTTTCGTAGTGTTCTAGCTTCAATTGTCTAATGATGTTAACTAAATAAAATTACTACAATCTCCACAAAACCCCCTTCTAATAACTTACGATTAGACAATAAACCTAAACTTAATGATTCTATGAAAGTTAACAGGATTTTTACCCATTGAAAGACGTTGTTAAATTCAGTGATCATGTGTGTTCATGTGTTCAGTCTTTAAAATTTGAAACTAAGCTAATATATTAAACATGACAAAATACAATGAAAATAATAAAAAAACTTTCAAAATAATCTTTGTATTGTTATTATTATTATTATTACTATTATGACTAAATATACCTTTAACCTACCCTGGTAATACTGATTTATTATCCAGCTAGGTTATCACATTGTGTACTTTCTTATTTTTTTTGTTTTCCCTCGCCTTTTAATATAATTTATTATTAAGATTTCATGACAGTAATATCATAAAATATGAAATAAATTTTTATTATTGATTAAGACATTTAGAGTAAATAGTAACGAAATAGTATCCATCTTTGTAACTGTATGTCTATCATTCAATTAAAATATTGTGATTCCTTTTGCTTATCATAAGATTGGATGAAATGAGTTTGGATGATGTTTATTATTTCGATAGTGTAATAAGAAGACGAAGATTATCAGAACTATGTGATAGATTAGCGCAATACATTTCAAACATTTTGATCATACATATACTTGTTAAGAACATTTATATATAAAAATAAAAGGTCAACTAGACTGGAAATGAGGGAGGGGGGAAGAATAGACAAGGATAATAATAATATTGTGAAAATAATTTGAAACCTAATCACCTGGATAATAAGTCAATACTACCAGGGTAGATTTAAGGTGAGAACAAACTGTTTTTGAATTTTCGTATGGCTAAGGCTTCAATAAACCTTGGTATACACCCTTTTACACTTTTGTACAACACCACAGAAGCCGAGTTAAGATCATTCTTATGGCCTGTTTCGATTACATATTTTTAATATATACCACTGTAAACTATCCTAATTAATTACTAACTATATTTCAAATCGTAAAAAAAGTTGATATGCCTGGAACATAATTTTATTTGATGACATACTTATCGACAATTACTTACCTGTAATCAAATTTTTTTATCAATGCGTTCTCTGAAAACGGAACTAGTTCCATAGTATAATGTAGCATCAGAATTCGGCTTGTGAAAGTGGAAATTTAAATTTTCGGTATTATTAAGTGCATTAAGTAAAATAGCATGAATAAGAAATTATACATAACGTTTGTTCAAATGTTCGACCGAAATACAGTCACAACACGTAAGTATTAACCAAATTGATAAAGAGATATACTTTATTTGGGCAATCCCTTATTTGATTATATTAAAGAATTTATTCGTAACGTAATTGTATTTTCTAAGTTGAATTCATGATTCAATTGAAGTTAGACCACCATAGAAAACCTGGAAGCACTGGACGGCCGTTTCGTCCTATTGTAAGACTACTCAGCAGTGCGCATCCATGATCCCACCTCGGGAGATTCAGGCCCAGAACATAACAGTCTTGTGCACGGGTGCTTAACCATTAGACCACTGCTAACAGAAGGCTATTCAGTGCTTTCAGGTTTTTCATGGTGGTCTAATTTCAATCGACCAATAAATTCAACTATGAAATTACAAGAATTTCTCTAAAACCTCTTCTTATAGAAATTGTAATTATGAATAATTGATGAGAGAAAAAAAAACACACATAGCTTTATAATTAATAAACTGTGATTATGTATTCTGTAACAGAAAAATTATAAACCACAGTTGGTGGTAAACTATGTACTTGTAACCAACTGACTACAAATTTAATAACTAAGTAACATTTTTACATTTAATCTGATAAAAGATTGAAGATTAAATCATTCCAAGATTTAATCTGTTTGTCTCTAATTCCTTATCAATATTCAATATATAAATAATTAAGACCTGTAAAATGTAAAAAAACAAACAAATAAACATAGAAAACATTATCTAAATTGACGGATAATAATGAAGATATAAAATGGATTATATTTCTAACTTGGCTTAAATGAACTTTTTAAAAAATGAGTTGTTTTTTTAAAAAAAGATTAAATTTAATTATTAAATTTTTTTATAAAAAAAATTGAACATTGAAAAAAATGGAAAATTGTTGCGTGTATTGTTAATAATATGAAATTGAATTTTTTTTGATTGACAAACTAAGTATTTATATAATAATAAATATATTTTTCATAATGAATTCCTCTTGTATTATTATTATAATACTCGTTATTATTCATACATTTACAATAATACAAATGGACGTTTGTAAAATTCGACTGAATTATTAAAGAAAACATAATGAAAAGCTTATAAGAAAAATACATTAGTTATATCTTAATGCGTACTATTTAAACTTGTGTTAATTTAATGTTGGTTAAATATTTACTCTGAAGAAGTGGCCAATATTAAGTGACAAAACGTGAGAAATATAATAACGAAAAGTCTATTTATTATTAACTCTTTAACTAATGCTCAATTTATTTGAAACTATCAAGTCCAATCTTGATAGGGATAACGAAAAGCTATTTAAAGTAATCAATTTATTTATAATGTAAGACATGGTTATTAATCTTCGACATGATCACTAATACATTTCTTTGTATTTAATGACTTTTGTTAGTCTAGTGGCTGTATGCAATAAATATTACAGCGGACTTGACAAAATATATGTTGAACAAATGTTTTTTATATGTTTATATGTAGATTAAAACCAAAAGGCGACCCAGTAGTAAAGTTAATTATGCAAAAAATAATTGATTGATGATATTTACAGTAAATGAAATATTCTTTATCAAATCAAGTCATTCTTGTTGAATCATTCTGTTCTTCATAGATCTGGAAAAGGAATATTTGAACTCAAAGTACAGTGTTGAATGAAAACTATTTAAATATGTGGTGATTTGGGTAAAATATTGTAATGATGGAACATTTCATATAAGTCATTTTACGAATGTTTTATTCAGTAAATAGTGACGTTTTGTAAATAATGTCTACAAAATGTTTTTGTTCTATCAAAAGCTCATCATGGAAGTGTAATTAATTCATTATTTGCATGAAAATGATGCTCTCCTTACAAGTATAAACTAAAATACTTAGTTCACTTAGTATTGTTTGTTTGAATCTTCCCATTGATGCTTAGGACTGCAACTGGTCTTAATACTGTTGTATTATTAACAGATATACACAATCCTAAAATTAGCGTTTTTATTAACTTATTCAGAACAACACTTTCGTACCCCGTGCATTTTGCCGTTTTGTTACTACGTTCAACAAAACATTATCATCAATAAACACTATCGTTTATCATTGTGGCTGTACAACTTTGAGAATCAATCGGCTTAAAAGAAAGCTTTCCAAAAATCATTACATTTGTTTTGTCCCAAAAGTGTTTATTACCTAATCATTCAGTAAATCATAGTTAAGATTCAACTAGACTGTTAATTATTCACAAAACTTTTGAATAATATTGTTTGAAGATAAAACCAGTTGTAGAACTAAAAGTTTAGGATTAGCGCGAGCTAATAAGCGATACCGAAATAAATGTTTTAAGTAAGACCGAGAATTCAGAAAACAATATAAACGGACATTGATACTTCTTATTAATGAAAACGTTCAAATGAAAGTGACATTTGTATCGGAAATACCAGAGTTACGACGTTTTATATCCAATGCCTTATATAACTCACGTCATCCTTATAATGGCAAAATTCTCATGACGATTAAAAAAGGATTTGCCTTGGTACAAATTAACAAACTTTATCAGTCTGGAGTGGTGGAGATTGTTGAATTTCACTGAAATCACTAATCGATTCGATGTAAAAACTATTTAAAGCCTGAAGTTACTTGACGGCTACTTCGTTTTACTATAACACTTCTCAGGATTGAGTGTTCACGAACCCAAAAGTGGTGACCAAACCCAAGACATTCTTTCTCTCCAAAGTTCGGATGCGAAGCCTATGACAAGTGTTCAACCATATTGGTTGTGAATCATTCATTTACTACAAGCTATGAAAGATTATCTCGCAGTATCATAAATTGTATGAATTTTGACGTGTAAACTATTAAATTAGGGCTTGGTAGTTTAATGGTTAACTTTTCTCAGACGAGACAAGTCCTGGATTCAATTCTCGAATGAGGGGTTGTGGATGCATTTTGATGAGGAGTTTTGTGCTAGACCGAAACGGCCGTGAGATGTTTCTAAATTTTCAAAGTTTATATAACTTAGATCAGTTTTTAATTTCCATGAAATTTAACAAATAGTCAATCCGTCGGTTGCTTTAAAAGAAGGATAATTTTTGCATTTGAGATGTGAAATAATTCCAACGAAATCACTCTAATACAGCTTCTTTACTTCACTTCCCTATTACTTGTCGTTTATTATAAAAAGAGAAGTGAAGTTTTCACTCAGTTTCTAATTGATTCATTGAATTCATTTTCAATTTGTTCTTCAGGAAGCCTCCGAAATTACTATATTGTCTCCAAAAGAGGCTGAAGTACTTCGAGAAAAAGTAAAAAATGAATGTGAACTCAATCGAACATTGGACAGTGAGTATTGTTTTTCATTGTTTATTAAAATGTACTATTTACAGGTTGCGTTTAATTGTAACTTTTAAGAATATACTGACCTGTTTCAGATCATACTTATAAAATGCACAGAAATCATAGAAAATAAGTAGTGGTTTGTCATTTTAATAATTTAAAATGTAGAAAAATCAATTATGTGAATACCACTTATTAAGACAATAATGTTAAATCTATACAGCCATATATTTAACTTGTCAATTGCAAAACAGTTAGATCTTTAATACAGATTCAATGAATTTCAATTGGTTAGCAAATGAATGATTTCATGTGGATGGTTTTAATTCTGTGTCAGAAATTCATTTATCTTCAATCGGTGTAGTTGAACTATACTTCTAAGCCGATGATAATCACAAAAGCTACTTCGTGTATTTCGTGAGAAATTCAAAAACAGATTCCATGAGGCATTTACTTTATGAATATTCTTACTTAGAATTTGATTTACTTATGATTGACTAGAAAAAATATTTGTGCTATTATAAAGTGCAAACGACAAGATTTACAAACAAGGTCATATAAAACGCTTGACACATATGTGTTAGATTTTATATGAACTAGAATTCTAGTGAGAAGCCGCTACCAGAAGAATTTGACTATGTCAAATATAAGGCAGTTATGTCAAAGGCAATGAAAGATGATATTCTTATTTATTTCAAGCTAAAGATTTACATCATTAGACGTCGGCTAAATGGCTAAGGAATTCAGCGTTTGCCTCAAGACTGAATGTTCTGGTTTCCACCACTGGTTAGAAGACCACGGCTACACACTCCTGGGTAATCCTATACTAGAACAAAACGGTTATCTATTGATTCCAGGTTACTAATTGAAGTCTGATTATGGTCGATTCGTGATGTCAATAACATTCAATGATCTTCATAAATCTTTATATCGAAAGTTAGAATTTCCCACTTCCTTCACTTATAATAAATTCTCAACGGAGTAACATTATTTAATAAAAACTACTCTTTTCGTGTAAATTATATAAATAGTTTAAGAGCGTCTTTTACATGTTTTTCAATATGTTGTCTAAAAATGACATTTTATCAAATTCCTAAATAGTCTGTTAAAATGGTAATGTAAACACTTCAGGAAACTATTTGTTTGTGAAAGTAAAGATATTCTGATTTTTCCCATAATGAATGAGCTCATATGGCAAAAATAGGCAATTCCATGAAAACACTGAGTGTCTATGCATCTACTTAATAAATAAAACTAGGATATGTGGACAAAGTATATTTTTCGATAAATTTTTATCAGATCCTACAGTTGTACAAGCAGACTAATGTTCACTGAAGACCAGCCCTTTATAAGATAAATACAATCTTCGAAAATAACAGTATGTAAATCTAGTATTGTTAGTAAATTATCATTATAGTGCATTTATTTTGAAAATCCAACTATCCTTCGTCAAATTTGTAAATTAGTTAAATAAAAGTAACTTAAATACTTAATGTGACGATACATAAATTCACTCCTTATGCAACTGATCGCACTTCACAGTATGTTTTTTTAAATTCAAGTTAAGTTTATTATATTCTATCGATTTCGTTTTTAAGTTATAAGCGATGGAAAAAACGTATGTACGTTTATTTTTCATAGTGATGACTAGTGTTTTTCATATAAAACTACGTTCATAGTAAACATTCTCATAATAATAAGTTTAGTCAGTATTTTATTGACAATATCTTAGAAAGATATCAAAAATAGATAAGTTAACTTATTGTTAAAGTTAATGTTTGTAACTTAGGTGGATGATTTTCATCGAGTTTTGTTTTCTGAGCTGGATGGTTTGGTCATTTCAGAGAACGAAACTCCGTAAAAAAGTTTTTCATACCGTAATAAGTGAAGTTGAGTTCAAAAACATAAAAACAATCTGAAATGAAACATTTGTAGGGCTACAATATTTTCAACATTATTGTTATGAGTGAGTAGCATTCATATGTTGAACAGATGACATATGTTATGCCATAAATAGTAATTGAGATAGAATGGATAAAAACGAGTTTTGAAAATAACTGACAACGTAGTCAAACCACCTAGGTGATATGAACGTACAATCAACGTCATGAGTCAATTCCTGTGCTATAAAATCAAATCAAAAGATAACGTGATTGATAAACGGTTCATTCTAATAGAAAACTGTGTAAATGTTGTTCTTTCCGTTCTCAAGATGTACATGTTATAACTGATGCATTTAAACTCATAAATTCATTTGACTATGACTTCAGAAGTATATGGATCCACTTGTGACTAGTATAAGGAATATTTGATATTAAATCATGGAGGAAGTAAGGCTGAAAGGAAAAAAACATTTTAAATTTGCCTCAAACTTTTCATTGGTCCTACCTAAAATCTCACTTCTCCTGAATCCAAGATTTGTCTGGGAAACTCACTAAGTATTCTTTCTGTATTAAAGAATAGATTTCTTTGGATATTAAATTTTTATGAGATACTTTTGATGTATGTGATTTCTACCTCTCTTTCGTCAGCTGAATAAAACTTTCTAGCTCTGTTAAATACTGTTTTAACTAAGCAGCCATTGTAACTAAAAGGATGAAGGCTATTATGATTTTATTATTACCCCATCAATGTTTACTTACCAAATATACTCTTCTTGGTTGTTTTTTCGTTTATTTTTTTAAATGTTCAGATTGTTGAATTGCTCAGTATAGGTTGGACTTTATGGTTTCAAAAATTGAGCATTGTGTAAAGAGATAATAATAAATATACTTTTTGTTATATCCCAATGAGTAAAAGTACAATCATTTTCTGACGTTTCGTGACTTGAGGTAGGCCGCTTCTTCAAAGTAAATAAATATTCGAAATTAAAATAACACAAGTTTAAACAGTAAAAAAGAGACAGAACTGATCATTACTTTAATATCCCTTTGTAAATTTGATGTTAACATATGTTTCCTTAACTAATGAAACAATTAGGAAGCATCATTTATTTTATTACAAACAATAAGTCTATCGAAAGCTTACCTTCTTTTGAATGTCATACATTTTTAATTTCGTATTCTGCTTTTTCTTGTTCGAAATTAGCTTTTTTTTAAACCAAAACATGAAAATACCCATTATAACTGATAAGATACTTCTAATTATAATGAAATAAGCAAATCTTGTTCTTATAGTTTTGTTAAAAATTATGAAAGTATCAGGATGTACAGAACTGGGATTTGTTTGAAAATCAAGACTCCAACTTCGTTCTCTGGCTATGATCAAACCACGTACATGCTTATGAAAATCATGAATTGGTTTGTCATTGAAATTAGATATTGTTGTCTGTCGTTTAGGATAGATCGACTGAATTAATACATAAGAAACCGTTAATTACAGAAGAAAACCGAATTATTGATTTAGGGTCTAAAATAAGCGTATATTGAAATCCAAAATAGACTATCAACAAATAAAGCCGTTTTTAGCTCAATTATACAAACATTTAGTAAGAAAATAAACAAAAATAAATTTGTGGGTTATGCGTTTCAAAGGCTACTTAATCAGCCCTTGGACTTAAGATCCCTCTTTTATGCTACCATCTTTATTAAATATATATAAAGAAATGAGATAAAAATATTTCTTAGAGGAATAAGCAAAACAACTGCAGTAAAAAGTGTTTCTATGTTAGCATACGTTTCACATCAGAGGTTTTTACTAAACATAAAACTCTTTAATGTTAATATCTAACAAAGTACAATTAAAAACTATTCATAAAGATAAGGATAGCTGTTCAAACTCTTTGTATAAAATAAAATGAAATCTCCGGTATTATATCTGATCGTCTGGAATTAATCAGTATCATGGAGAATGTTCGGCAAATGAAGACTCTATTTTAGAAGGTTGTTAGAGTACTCATTTAGTTCTTTTCAGTTTTTCTCATTGATGTTACAGTGTAACACCGCTTAAAATCATACTTTATGCTATGGAATATGATACTAACCAGCCACATGACATATAAGTCAGAAAAAATTCTTGCATATTTGCTTTTACAACCAATAAATACATGAATTTTCTAATATATCCAAGTCTATCTAATTGTCATTAAAACAAATGAGAAACAAGTAATATATCTAATAAATAGTTCAGTTATTTTTAATCCATCATAATTATTTAAATATCACGGTTTACATTAGCTTTAAAAGAAACATTCATTAACAAACTGATATTGCTAAACAACAAAACACGTTTGATTAAATTGTACATTGTTGTATGAACATCAGCATCGAACACAATTCTGGACACTGCTCGTTCTGAAAAAGGTTATAGTGAAAATAGAAAAAAAAAAGAAATTAATATCTTTTAATAAATTAATTCATTTATTTCAACACATAAAAATTGGTACAAAGAGGAACCAGATATATATGCGCCACACAAAACTCATTTGATTTATGTGAGGGCTGTGATACTGCCCAGGTACCTAAACTGAAGCAGGTGGTTTTTTTAGGGGACCACAACCGGAGCCTTTGACCTGATTGTCTGATACACAAGGCAGTGATGCATCGTGAGAAGATGCAGTCCTCTAATAGCCGTTCACCAACGATTGATTCATGCGCCATTTGTTCCCTCAGGATACTGGAGCCCATGTGCACCATTGGTTTGGGCATTAGGGTTTCCCAAGTCCCCTAGGTGGAATTTCATTGTCCACTAACTCGGTTAAGGCGTCGGACATTCGCTTTTCGTCCTCTCAATTTAGTCATCAACATCTGTGGCACGAGAAGACAATGAGTAGGACCTCCGTGACAGAGGCTATATGCACGTGGCCATGTGAGAGCATTTTGAGAGGGAGAGCGGACCCTCCTCACTCTCGGTCATAACAGGGCATTTGGGAGCATTTTAATGTATACTTTCAAATGGATTGCGCGATTCGTGAATTTAAATAATTGACTACATTAGAGGAATATTCTAACTTTACTGAAGATTAATTAAAAGACAAAACTAATCCACTTGAAAACAAAAAAATTCGTTCCATAACATTCAGTTCGTACAATGAATTTTTTGTATCTTTTCTGAACGTTTTTGGAAAAAAAAGAAAAGAAAGGAAACTATAAACGGAAGCTAATGAATATAGTGAATTTTTGATGATTGATTTCATCCCAATACAACCATTAACTTCTGTTCATTCATCTGGTTAGTTTTTTTCTTTCTTAACTCACCTGATGTTTACTATTGAATGTGAAAGACATTAATTTCGAAACTATTCTTTCCAGTTAAACTATGATAATTAAAATTTTAATCAACAAAATGTACAAAACATTTTCTAATTACATCCTGAATATTTTCATATATTACTTATAATTCAACTATTAGTTATAGTATATGTTGGAATGTATAACAAAACAACCTGTTATACTAGGTGCATCCAAATAATTACCCTGAAAGCTTTCAGGCGAATGATATAAGCATATATATATAATGTCACGTTTAAGTGATATTTAATTACATTTATTCCTGTATCAAATGTTTAGCGTGCACATGTTTCATTCTGTCGTATACGTTTTTGAACTCCGTTCGTTTGGGACCTTGTAAAAGTAATACGGTTTTTCCGGAAATAATAGTTCATTCCTTACATTATTTTTAACAATTCAGCTAGTAGACTGAACAGTCAGCGTTTATATCCTATTTTATGGTTCTTATTAATGGAACCTATTTATGTTTAGATTATTTAGCACGCTTTATTTCCGCTACTAACCTTAAAAGATGTTTTAATTTTCGTTTTGTTTTTATCTTCTAGAGAAATCTCACATTTATTCTCAAACGGAATATTGTCTTACAGAATTTGATTCAGTATCTTGCTGGCCACCAACAAAGGGTGGGACAATCGCTAAAATACCTTGTCCATCTCATGTTCCAGGAGTTAAAATAACTGGAACTGTTTATCGTCCATGTAATCTAACTATCGAGACACAAGATTTAAATGGAAGAAAAACGGTTGTTTGGAAATTCGATAGATCTAATTACAGTGATTGTGTACATCATGAAGACATAATGGCGGTTGGTATATACACTGTTTCTATTGAAATAATTTATTTTAAATGTTAAACATCAAATTTCACTAGTCTACTCAGAAATCGCTTATGAATTATGGCCCTTGTGGATGATTGACAATGTATCTGCTAATAGACATCTGTAAAAAACGTCTGAAAATAAATTAATTACGGTCAAAAATTTAAAAGATACTGGAACTCAGAAAATTAGTTATGGTACAAAAAATTAGTCATCAGCTTGACTATGTATTCTGCTCATTCAGGTTAAAGATAAACGTCAATAAGTTAGTGAAGTGAATTATAGATCAAACATTGAGTAAAAAGCATATAAGCGAGGACTATAGTTCTCAGTCGGATCTTCATCAAGCTTTGTTCTAACGTAGAGGAATACTTATACACATATATAAAAAATATTCAGCTATTCACGACTATTTGTAATTAATTACTAATAATAAATAGATTAGATAACCAAATATAATTAGAGAAAGTACAAATCCTTAGTAAGAGGACAGGTGTACTGGTAAAAATAAGAACAATAAAATGTTGATTTAACCAGTGGTTCAACATAGAAAATGAGTCAGAACTTGGATAAATGGAAATGAAGATAATGATCAATAAAAGCCTTTGAAATTACGTTATAAATGTGTAGTGTCGTTTACTATGTTAACCGCACATGGCTTATTCTAGCTTCCAGATAGGCCGATTTATTCATTCTTCTCAAGCTACATTTTGACCCTGTTAATTATTCGTTTGTAACCCTGAGTATTCTTATGTAAACTTATATGCGTGTGTTTCCTATCTTACTCATCACATGTCTGTAACTTATTTTTGTTCGACTACAAATATCGACTCACTTTTGGCGTCATTTTGCTTCCTTCTGTTCTCATCGCTTCTCCGATCGTTTGTCTGGATCAACGATTGTATGAAATACACGTATACGAAATTCATCCTCACATTTGACTTGTTTAATTCCGTTGTTCACCAACTCGATATTTCAATAACATTCATACGATCTAATTTGAGTCAGATATCAGGCCACAAAAGATGTATGGGTAATGAAATAATGAAAAATATGAAAGGAAGAAAGTAAAGAAAAACAAACAAATATGGAATGGGAAAAATTGATAATATGGTTTAATAAGTCATATCAGCCCAAAGAAAGAATTTTTTCAGCACATATACAAAGGTTATTGGTTCCGATCCATATAGTTCCGGTTATATACACGAGATGAAATCGAATCGCGTTGAGGAAAGACAAATTATACCTTAATAAGAAGCAATTCGTAACACTCCTTATCTTTTGATTAGCTTGATTTAGCATAATAAATGATCTTTATTCCCTTCTTTCCTTTATAAATTTGTTGTGATATTCATTCACTCGGATATAAGCTCATAGTTATCTCATGCGATCATTAAATAAAATTACAATATCATAGTGAATTAATATTGCCTGAAAATTCCTATACTTGTGCTCCTTTTTTGCAAAGCTATACAAACCGTTTGAATGTTTTAATTATTCATTTATATTTGCATCCATTTCGGTTATAGACCCATTTGCCTATTATACAAACTTCTGTGTTTTATGGTTACGCAATCTCTATGGTTTTATTACTAATAGCTACAGGAATAATTTTACGATTTCGGTAAGCCATAGTTTTCTGTTTTGTCTGTATGGGTCTGTGGTAATTATATTTTCTATGCTTAATGTCCTAGTAAAGTTAATGATTTTCGTGATTGTATTAATCAGAACTGTTCTGTCAAGCACACTCGATTTCCCATTCAAATAAATGTCTAACATGTTTAAATTCAACTTAGTATTGTTTTTTTGAAACTTCCCATTGATGTTTAGGACCGCAGCTGATCAGTCTCTTATTGGCATATATGTATACTGTGCGAATTGCCTCGATATTGCCTCAATTGACAAGCATTGTAAGCAAAGATGTGTATTGGCTAGTAGTGGAATGCAGGACACTTGTTTCGACGTATTTGGGACTGGTGAGTTGGATGTAGCTGCATCTCGGAATTGATGTTCACTGTGGGACTGCAACCCAGTACCGTTCGCTTTAAACACCATGTTGTTTAATATTAACTGACATATGAGAACTTACAGTGACAAATATTAGAAAGGCTGAATGGAATTGTTGTCGAAATTGATTTCCATAGATTTTAACCTGTGAATTGATCTTAGTTTCACAACCATTGATAATCAGAATACCACAAGACACGGATTCTATTCTATGTAGTGGTGTACACATACTTCTAAAAAGTCCCATACTAGGAAAAAACTACCGTCTATCTCTTCCAGGTTGTCAATGGTGATAAAAGCAATATCAATTCATAACTTAAAAACTATGAAAATTCCCTTATCTCTACTACGCCTTATACTGATAAAACTAATTTCACTAATTTTAAAGTGCTTAAATTATTTACGTTAATTTTTTGAAACTCTGGTTTAAATTCAACTTCTGAAGGATTAAAAAGTTATCACAGTACTTAATTTTTCTTGATTATTCATGCGTTCATAAATACATTCTAATCTTAATTGTAATAACCAGTTGCATACAAGGTGATGTTGAATAGGTTATATATGTAGGATGTATCATTTTCTAGTTCTCTTTTCAACATAAGAATGTAGTATTTCAAAAAAACCGTCCAAATTTTAACTTTTTTAAAACTTTGTTTTTTCTCTTTTTTTTGATGATTGCCATAATATATAGCATAGAATAGGCAGTTAAATAGACTATGAATTTGGAAGTATGATTTAAAATTTGGAATTAATCCAAGTTACACCTTTGTAACATAGAACTTCTTCCACAGACTAGCTAAATGTTTAATCATCTTACACTGTATAATAATGCTACGATTGTAATACATAACAGTTACTGTCATCACTATACATAAAATACTCTCATCGATCATTAGCTGAGTACATACAAGATGTTTTATATTAAACTTTTTAGTAGTTTTCTAAATATGCAATTAAATGCTATTGCTCTACAGTATCTTTGTAAAATATTGTATCCATGTATTAAGCCTATAAATTAATTTAGACATTAATTTTTGTTAATCAGTTTACTGAAAAATATGATAATGTCTCAGCAACTACAATTTCTTTAAATGTCAATAATATTACGTCATATGTAATCTAAAGAGTTAAATGATTCCATTCACTTTCGTTCATATTATTAAAAACATAATAAATGAGTTAATATATAAATGCACTTAAGTATTTATTAATAATAATGATAAACTACAAAGGAGTAATGATTGAAATATACCCTGTGACCATATGGTTAAATAATAATAAACATATGTAGTTGACTATGTTAGTTCTTGTGTTGTATTGATTTCGACCTATCATTATATTGAACTAATTGTTGAATTATGTGTGACGTATAGAAAAACAGATTTCAAATAAATGAGAAATAGCTGATTTTATAGAATTCAACAGATGATATATTTTAAAATCAATAATATCCCAATGAATAGAAAATTTAGATTTTCTGATGTTTCGTCACTTAGTATAAACTGCCTCTTCAGAGAATAAACAACTAAACTAAAATTAATCTAAGTTTAAATAGTACAATAGAACAATAAAAATATTTATATTCTTCACTTGTAACAATCTACATAATGCTCAATTTATTCGAAACTATAAAATTAAAACTTGGTAATGATACCTACAAAACGTTATTTTTATTATTACACACTATCCAATAATACATAGAATAGAATTATTTACTTTCCATTTGTTACACAACTGTAATACCTTTGTGGTATAAGTTGATAATAAAATGTCTTTCTGCAATAGACTTTGCTTCATTTTACTCAGTAGCTGAGTGGAAAGCGCGTTGCGTTTGAAGCGAACGGTACTACGTTCAAGTCCCAAAGTAAAAATCAACTCTGAGATGCAGGTACATCCAGCTGACGAATCCCAAATAAGAAGAAACGCGTATCCTGGATTCCACTGCTAGCTACTATCTATTTTGGTTTTACTATTTATGTTGATATAATGATCTCCATATTTCGTTTATAATGTGTATCTATGAACATAAACTGACATATTAAAAGTTGACAAAACACTCGACTATAAGATAATACAGAATGAGAAATCATGATTTTTGAATAACTGGTAACAATATATTGGATGATAATTTATCATTGTGACAAATCAAATATTATCTGTTAAAAGTATAAGTAGTCCAAAGGAAAATATTGGAAAAGAAAACAGCTGTTAGTTGAGAAGACTTTCTACTTATCAATATGCTAATGAGACTAGTAAAGTAAAAATTCGACATAGTTTGTTTTAAGACATATTTTAATTATTAGAATTATACAATCTCCTGAATATATGAGTATTCTCATTTGTAAATGAATGATCAGCTTGAAGAATAAATTATTTAGATGATATTCAGTTTATTTCTTATGTAACTTCATACAGTCAGGATGAATATTCAAAACTTAATGGGATTCATTTGCTTCTTCATGTATATGATGGATGTGATGTAAAAGAATCTTCTTGTTAATACATGTTTCTCAACTTATTTATTGAATATTGACAGGATAATAGGGATAAACACTCCTTGATATAATGGGGGAATAGTGTTTATTTGACTAAGGATTCAAAAATACGTTATTCATATATAGTATATAATCTTATTTTTGTTATTTACAGACGTCTCAGATGCACTAGGAATAACCTACATTTGAATTTGTTCAGTGCGATTTTGCTACGATGTGTCTTACATTTTATAAAGCATGCAGCAGACGGCCAAGGGGTAGGTGATCATTATTATAATAATACAATTGTATATCTAATTAGTACTTTGTTGCATGAAAGCATATGTTATGTACGAAACTAGTACTTGAAAAACTTTCGTAAATAAACAATTGTATGGCTTGACAATAAATTCCTTGAAAGAAGATCATTTCCCTGAACTTCGTGTTTTTTTAACACTTAAAATGAACGCATGGTAAAATATCGAAAATGACATTTGTATTGGTATCGAAGTTATCAGTCTAAATAAAATAAAAAATTACATTGCCTCATTGAAAAAATCACTGGAACTATGATAAGTTAACAATCTCTGCATGTTCTCTTATTTAATCATGTGCTAACTAATGACTAACTTCAAGGTGCAATTCCTGCAGTTTTAATGAGAAGTCATAACCAAGAGCGTTCAGCTAAGTTGGGTGTAAGGCACTAATTCACTGAAAGCTTCGATCAGTTTATGCGTAAAATCATGAGTTGTTTGAAGTTAGACATGTAAAGCAATTGCTGTCTATAGGTTAAGCGTTTGCGGACGATACAGGTCTTGGATTCAATTCTCTATGTCGCGGTTGTGGAACAGTTCTTTTTAATAGTTCAAAAATACGATAAAACAACGATCCCATGATTTTCATTTTTAAATGATGTTCCAGTTAATATAATCTCGTGACCTAAGCTAGAAATAATGTTAGAAGTAAAATTCGAATTCGGAAGGTTATGATAATCGGTTAGTAAGACTGTTGTCTACAAAACTGAAGATGTTTGAATGGGCTCATAATGAATGTTTGAAGTCTTGAATTGCTAATATCATGAGTATAAATAATTTCTTTGTTTGTTTTCACATAATACTTGGACTAAAATGAGAAAATTATCTTACTGAAACTAGGATTTGTTCAAACTGTATGAGTGTATTATCGACAACTGGCATTTCATAATATACCTAACGTTTCACACAATTGACGTTTTAATCTCCATGGTGTAATCTGAACAATCGAGTGAAAGCGAAATAATGATGAGTTCAATTACAATCGTGTATTCGACTTCCTTTAGGCCGATAAGTTATCCAATTATACGGTAATTCAACAGAGCGTTTTCGTTGATCAATAACCCTCAAAGCATTTTTAATTTAAGAGTGTGGGTTAACGTTTAAAAGATAGATGTGATTAGATTTTTCTTCTGATAGTTTTATAAATTCTAATAAAACAAACGTAATTGCAAATTATTTGAAATGTTATTCTGAATCGTGAATATAAATAATAATGTTATATAATGTAATTTTGTGAACCAGGCTTATTTTGCATTGGTTTTCAGGAAAACCGGACACCATCCAGACATTCACTTAACAATTTAAACATCATAGCTAAATCTCCTTTAACAAGAGAGCCAAACACCGTCTAGGCTTTATCCGAGCAGTACAGTTCAATTCCATTTTCAGGTGAACCAGATATCATCCAGGCTTAAACTTTATAACCCAAGCTGTACAGCTTGACTCCGCTTCACATGAGAACCGGACACGATATAGGCTTGAACGCTACAATCTCAATAGTACAGCTCAGTCCTGTGGCGCAACCACACAGATACCCAGTACCCTGATGGACCAATCAATAATAATGATAGCTTCTAAAAAGGAATTATAAAACTAATTACTTAACAGTAGCACATAATTTGAATGAAATTAATATAATAATTAAAGAAATATGTTTTTTAATTCATAAGTAACAATGCAAAACATGAACTGTACAAAGTGAAATGTTACTGGGAACATTTATTAGTAAAAATAATTGAAATGCTAGAGATAATTGAAAGAAATGGATACCTTATAAAGAAAAGGGTATAATATAGTATAGCACATGGGCTATGTGTAATTACTTAGTTACCTAACAAAGTGTATGATTCCAATCAAAAGGAATTTTGTGAAGATTTCAGTATTTTCCATAGTTAATATCATGTATGTATGTCCTGAAGTTCTAATGTGAAGCAGTAACCAGTGGAGTTCAACCAGGTCTGCTGGGAGATATCAACTTACTGAAGACAATTGGTGAAATGGTTGCTCAATTTCGTGGATTGGTTGAAGTCAGACATTAACACCATTCGATGCCAGCCGGCTCAGTGGTCTGTTAAGTGCTCTGGCGCGAGACTGGTAGGTCCTGGGTTCGAATCTCGTGAGGCGGGGTCGTTGATGTGCACTGTTGAGGAGTCCTATAATAGGATGAAACGGCCGTCCAGTGCTTCCAGATTTCCATGGTGCTCTAGCTTCAACTGACTCATGATTTCGTATATGATTCCCTTATAGTTTTCCCTCATAGAATTGAATCAGGTTTTAGCTTATATAACCCTTGATAATATATTGTTATAAATATTTAAATGTTTACTTACTCTTATAATGTTTGTTTAATTTAAAAAATATGTAACAATTCCAAAAAATGTTTTTATTTTTTATTTTAAGGTTATTTGCAAAATATTTACTACTCTTCATGTGTTTACAATTGAAGCAACATATTCTTGGGTACTTATGGAAGCACTTTATCTTCATAACAGTGTACTTGTTCATGTAATGCATGAAAGTAGGACATCTTTTATTCTTTATGCTTCAATTGGATGGTGTAAGCTTTCAATACTTTTTTTTATATTTTTGTTTTAAATTGATTGTCTTAAAGAAATTATTTTTATTTCAATATTTAAAAAAAGCTAAGTTGATTATGACAATTATACATCGTATTCTCATGGTGGAATTCATCTAAATGACGGGAAGCACATAATGTATGGAATTGATTGAAATTTCATATACAGGACTAGATTAGTGAATTATAATACTCCATAAAACTGGAACCGTGTTAAGATGGACTCTATACGATTTATTAATAATAGTACTAGCTAATTAAAGTGATACTACTTAAAATAGCAATCATTGCTTACTTACATCTACTACCTATTGTGGAGGAGCAAAGACGGCCAACCAGGATTCTCCAGCAAACTCCGTCCTAAGCTCTTCTTGTTAGTTGTTTCCATTTGCTATTCATGACATGGATGTCTGACTCCGAGTCTCGATATTATGTGTTATTTGGTCTTTCTCTTTTCATTTTCTCCTAGGTATTGTAAGTTAGGGCTTACCTCGTGGTGCAGTTCAGTGATATATATTTATACAATGTGCCAGTATTTAAAACAACGGAAAATTCTATCGTAATTTAAAAATATCATGAAATTTAAGTTATTTGTATGGATATTTGTATCTATAAATAAAATAAAAAAATTGTTTCTATATCAGAAATCTCAATAGGGTTGCCTTCAATGAATTTGATTATCAGTCATCTGAGAACTGTCAATATTCAGACATATTTGATTGGAGCAATTTAGCTTGAAACAACTGACTTATATAAATATATATCTGAATGAAATTGCATAATAAATGATTATCTTCTTGTTTACTAATATAAACGAAATAAAATTCTGGAATAATTGTTTTTTAGGGGGGCGGCTAGGGATCAGACTCCATGTAGACGGTATGAATGATCGCTGTTAAAATATACATACTGTCTTTTCTCATATGTAATATATGACTTAATCCGCGTTGATGAATAACGGAGTTAAATTAGTCAAATACGAGAATGGATTTCGGACACATTTATTTTGTACACCACTTGATATAGACAGGAAATTAGAGGGATGAAACGAATAGAAGAGAACGAATAAAAAGTGATGCACATTATAGATGACGGGTAAGCCTACTCGCTTTGATCAAGCGTTAATCAATATTTATAGAAAGCTTTTATAAGGGTGCAGCAAGATAAAACATAAGCTAATAATAGGATCGGAGTGCATACATATTTGAGGAGGAGGATAAATCATCGAATGATAATTAAGCAATCAACGTTTTGGTTAGAGTCTGTCATGTGTTCTAGGGATCATAACAGTACAAAGATATAAGCGAATTGTTACTATCCAAATGACCATGTCTGTTAAGTAAGTTAATAAAAAGGACTTAACCAAAATTGACCATAATCGAAATTGAATGTAGGATAGTTGCTTTAGTTTTATTCTTTTCACAGTTATTTTGGATCCATTGTTTTACTTGTTATTAACATGTCAAAATATTGAAGTTATAATAAGTTCATTCTATTTAGACACATTCTTATGTTTAAAATTCCTTATTTAAGCAAATGACAATTAATATCTAGATATGAAATGAACAAAACAAACGAGACATTTACATTTTATGTTTAAATGATATAATTAAGACTAAATTCTGTCATAGTATAAATGCAGACTTTTAGAGTTACTGATAATGTTCAATATTTACGACATGAACATTTCGGAAAAACTTTTCTTTGAATGAAAGTCAACATCATTTCATGGTTTACATACAATGATATCAAGCAATGGTCACTATAATTGTTCTGACTTAAAAATAATTTCATTAGGTGTTTTAGAATATTCAAAGTTAATAACAATCTAATCGGTTTTCGTATATATTCTTGTTGGGAATAGCTCAATTTTAAGTATGTTGTGTTGCACAGTAATCTCAATTAATGAACTAGGAATCATTAAATAGCTGTTTCATTCTCGTTCTTATTTCATCATCAGGGTTCATAAATATACCAGTTGCTACGGATGAGATTTAGTAATTTTCAGTTTTGTGAAGACATTGCCACCGTTGAACTATTATTGGTTTAAATCTTAAGTTCGTTCAACTAGTCATATATTCCAAAGTTCTTACACTGTTATCGGTGATGCTTGTTTTATTTTTGATACGATATATTTTTATTACATGAATATCGATAAAATAGTAGATTAAATGGACTGATCGTATTTGATAGATTCTAGTTTGAATGAAGTGAATTATCTGTTTCTACCTAAATATGTAACATTTGGCATTTAACCGATATTTTTTACAACTATTCATTAATCGATATTTCTTATATTTTCTCTTCATATTTCTGTTTGCCTAAATGTGGTAATCGTTTACTGTCACCTGAAAAACAGGAGAGGGAAATCAAATTAATGATGTCTTATTTAATTTTGATATAAACAAAACGACCACACGATTAACTTCTCTATTGGAGTGATATCTATCATTTTTATGTGTCAGCAAATAATTCACTAGAGAAATTATGAATGAAAAGCTTAGAAATCAAATACTCTAATACGAATACCGTAAAACACTGCATGACTGTTACATCAACAAACGTACTAATTAAAGATAATGGAACTTTAGGTTACACAATACCTGCTTTTATATAACCAAAACTATCAGTATCTACAGACTAACTACTTTTTATTAGAAGGGGTTTTGCGACGATTTCAGTATTTTCATAGTTGAAATCATGAGTCAATTGAAGCTAGACCACCATGGAAAACGTGGAAGCACTGGACGAGCGTTTCGAATGCCGGCTAAGTGGTCTACTGATTAAGTGCTCTTGCGCGATACTGGTAGGTCCTGGGTTCGAATCTTGTGAGGCAGGATCGTGGATGCGCACTGTTGAGGAGTCCCATAATAGGATGAAACGGACGTCCAGTGCTTCCAGGTTTCCATAATGGTTTAGCTTAAATGGACTCATGATTTGAACTATGAAAATACTTTTTATTACGTGACAGACTTTATAGTAGATGACAAACAAAATATTTGAAAAGTGTTTTCCAGATAAATCTTTCGATATAGTAACAATATTACATTAATTATTTCCAGTCGAATTTATTCGTCGACAAAGTGTAAATTTCAAATCAACTGTGACTAAAACTAATATTAAGTAAACTAATTCAGAAGATTTTTTCAGTGTAAAGATCCTTTTAATTAATAATTCTTAAAGACTAATACAATATAACAAATATTTTGTTGGGATAAAGTTTCAGTTATGATATTTTGAAAACCTTATTGATTCATAATTTTATTGTTCTGGAATAAGATCACTTGTAATTTTGTGAGTTTACCTAGAAGATATTTACGGAATTTCAAATTTTCTACATTCTTATGACATGTGAACTATATAAGTTAATGAAAAAAAGAAGACAACCGAGTTACATAACACTTATATTGGTAGTTAAACAAAGAGTTTATTCTACTTTCTATCAATAAGAACTGACTTTAAAAATTGTTGAAAAACTATGATGAAGTAATTTATACAAACATACTAGACTACATTCATATTGAAAAAATAAGGGTAATAAATAAATAATATATTTGTAATATCCCAATGAGTAGAAAAATTAGATTTTCTAACGTTTTGGGACTCAGTTTAAGTCACTTCTTCAGGGAAAAAAATAACGAAATTAACATTAATCAAAGTTTAAATAGTATAACGGAAGAACACGAATATTAAGTGCGATCAATCAAAAAACAGGTCTGATTGGTCACAATTAATATTCGTGTTCTTCCGTTATACTATGTAAACTTGGATTGATGTTAATTTCGTTATTTTTTCTCTGAAGAAGTGACTTACACTGAGTCATGAAACGTCAGAAAATCTAATTTTTCTACTCATTGGGATATTACAAATATATTTATTTATGAAAATCTACAAATGCTCAATTTATTCAAAATTATCAAATCAAAAATTGTTAATGATACCTATGAGGGCGGTAAGATATTATCATTTGATTCCCATAGTTCAAGAAATATTCAGTATTTACATTTAAACATTTTATTTTTGTTCAAAACAACGACGAGAAAAAGAAAGAAACATTGCAACAACAGTTGGTCCAATGAAATAGTGGGAAATACATAAAAAAGAAATTCAATTTAAGTAAATTTCATTCTGTTCTATTTATATATATTTGAAACAATGAAACATTTCCATTAGCAATTACTTTGTATTACCTACAGTGTAAAACAAATGTTTTAATATTTTTTTGTCAAACTTAAATATTCTCGAAGTAGAATGACATAGGATAATGGTTTTAGTTAATAACAAAGCTAAAAATATTCACAAGTGATTGATCACTGAGTGGTGATCAATGTCATTTGTGTCATGTCCTTCTTTGCGCAGATCGGATCCTATTCACCAAGTTTCCATGTGGCCATTCGTCTAGGTGATTCAACATTCCGTGCGCCATGTCGAGATAAGAGGTGGTAAACAAAAAACCATCAACTTAGGTTTCGTGCTATTTGGCATTCATCAGCAAGATGTACCAATCATCTTCAGGAAACTGATGCTCCCTGACGGATTTGATTTATTGTCGCCCTGCTTCACAGTCATTGAAGTTACCACTGGGCTGTTCGGGTCGTGATTACAGGTACACATTGCTGACGAGTGCCGAATATCACGAACCCTAGGTCCAGGGTTTCCTGTCGACTAACACCGACCACCATCTTAGCTAAAAATAACTTGCAAAATGGAATCGGTTTTTCTACACTATAAAATTATTTTGTTCTCCTCATTTTTTCACATGCATAAGATCTATAATTCATAATTATTCATCAAATGACAAATTTAATAACAAATTTAAAAATACTCATTTCCTTTTTCCTTCTTAGCCCTCCCAATATTGGTAATTACTGTATGGGTTTTATTGAGAATATTCGTGACAACAGGTGATCAGTGCTGGGATTTAGACATTGGATCTGGTAGCCCAAGTAGAATACTTTTAATTGTATATCCAGCAATAATTATGTTGGTAAGCTTTTCCTCTTCTGATGCATGAAATTCTGAAGTAACTTAACTATAACTCATAAATCCATGAATTGAAAAACGTTAGTGTTTTTACTTTATCAATACAATAAAATTCAAGGTAACCTTACTCCTTAGATAGTAAAATATTAAGGTAATTATTGCAATCAAACAGTGATCGGAATGTGATGCAATAATATAAGTCAAAGAAATTTACAAAACTCCATTTAGAACGTCTGAACCTTTAACAAGTTGGTTTTTTTCACTAACATTCTTTAATGCTGAAGTATACACATTAACAACTTGGCAATTATAAACACTTTTGTCATAAATTCAAACTAAAGACTACGTTTCCAGCTTGGCTATTTTGCACTTTACAGCAACTCAATAGATTTACTGCATATTGAAAAAGTAGAGTTAGTTGCTTGTACCGGTTTGTAAGATGGATGTTCTATAATTGTCAGCGTTGTTTTTCAATTATTCCTGCAGAAATATAATGTCAAACGATTATCATAAATGTGTATAGTAAAGTTAATACAGAAAATCTTATGACTTTCGATGTGACCGAATAGTATTTCATTTATAATAACTTATAAATAATAAATATGATCCAAACTCGACACATCGAAGAAGTTAAGTAACTTTTCTGAAACCTCTCAAATAGAAAATGCATACAGCGCCTAGTTAACTTCAGTTGAATATAATTCCTTATGTGATATCCTATACAATAATTTTGCCAACCTCATTTATTAACGATGATATGAAAAGTTAAATACAAAAATGTACTGGAAGAATATATTCCATGCAAACGATTTAGTAGTTAAACAATGTAAATCAATAAATAAATGAAACGTAGTTTGTGATGGTTACTAGCTGAAAAACGATTAATTAATTGTGAATCATCTTATGTGTAAAAATTATTATTATGTAAAATACAGATAAGCAGTCAGACTAAAGATAAAAATAGATAATAGATGTGAACTCAAATTAAGCACATTTAATAACTTAGATATAGGTAATTGATATTAGATACGAATAATATAGGTGCATATAGAACATCACAGTAATTTACGGTGAATATATATTATTGTTACCAATTATTAGTCACATGCCGTCTGAATTAATAATGTCTGTCCGAAAGTTAGAACGTAATCACTTAAGAGTAGACAGGTCACTTATGCACTTTGTTATAAAAAATAACTAACTGTTTGCGATTGGAAATTTGTAATCATTTTTAAGCATCGTTTAAACGTTTGGTGTTTAAAACTTTTTACAGGACATGCACTAAAATCCTTAAAGAATCAAACACATCTATTCTTTACCAGGATTGTTCTATTCATTGCTGTAGTGGGATTGTTAACTAGTTGTCTGATAATAGCTAAATACGTTACTGTTTTTGTTGACACCATAAATACAACACAGATGTTGGCTAAAGAAAAAGAACTAAGAGCAGTCTTCAGTAAATCAACTTTGCCGATTGTCGAATTTACTTTCGTAACTGCGTTTGCATTATGTATATGGGTTACTGAGTAACGATTGATGTGTACCATTCAATTTAGGTTTATTCGAAATCTGATTATCCAGTCTACATAATATTTCTATAAGTAAAGTGTATCTACGTGATTTCAAATCTGTTTAAACGTCTACCTTTTTCACTTGCATTAAATCATACATCATTGTATTTGGCTTCTAAATTGAAACATTTCATTACGTTTAGTCAAGAGGAATATCAATCCAAAGAACCTGTTCACCTGATCCGAGTTCCGATATACAATCCAATAATAAGAATGAAAATTTCTCATGCATCAAAGGAAATAGTTTTTTGAGTTATCAAAGATTACTCAGTCACATAATTTAATAAGTAACAGTGAAACATCTGACATTCGTGAAAATAATTCGAACCTATCCCCTGTAATCAAATGTATATACGTATAAGTCAAATGAAAATACCATTTTAAATATATTAGACTCTACAAACTTTGACATCCTTGATAAAATGGAATTTGAAATGGAATGAATTTCATGAAAGTATTCTTCATTCTCTTTTGCTCATATGATGAGTGAGGAAACTGTTCACTGGAGCTTTGTTTAGTTTCCAGATATTTGCTTATATATCAGTTATTAGTCAGAAATTATATCCATCATGAAATTCCAGTTTTTAAACAAATTTTTCAATGGATAAATTATCAGTAATTAATATTACTACTTTAAAAACCGTAGATCTTTATAGATTTACTACGGGCATGTTTGGCTTAAACCATCATAGCTGGATGGAATTACCATAAATATATGTCTAGTTATATATTTTTTCTTTATTGGAGTGATAATTTTTAAATGAATTCCTAACTACAACATTTATTTTTCTAAGTCATTAATGTGTGACTACCTCACACCTTACGTGATTGAACTTCAACGGTCATGACTGTTCACGGGAGTGTTAGTAATTACTTGACTGTTTTCATACTACGATGAAAGAGTTCTCCGGTGATCCCTGATTTTCATTTTTTTTAAACTAAGATCAGTCATCATTAAAACGACTGGATTTACTTCTCAGACTTGTAAAATAGTTGGTAAACTATATGTCTTATAGACACTCTCAGCAGTAGTACGGATAATTTGGACCATTTTCTAACACAGATCTAGAACAGAAAAGTAAATTCTGATTTTCTCTTGCGTGTCTTTCCCGATTAAGTATTGATGTTGAGCTAAAATGTTGAATTCATTCTAGATTTTTTAATACATCTATTTATTTGCACATGACAAGTATCCTTATCAGCAAGTATAGCATCGCCAAGCGTAGCAAGGATTATAGATAAAAACGAATTTAGTCTTTAATTGCCTCTTCCTTACTTACATTGTTAGATTTTGACTGTAAGGCTTATGGATTGAACAAGGATTCTATTGTTTTGTTATTGTCGAAAAAATAATTAAAAAAAATTATTTTTATCTGGTTCTATTCTCTTTTTAATAATTCTGTTCAATCATATTATTGAAATATAGCTAATTTACTACTCACTTACTTACACCTGTTAACCATCGAGGAGGAGCATAGGCCGACCACCAGTATTCTGCATTCAACTCTGTTCTGGGGAATCCCATTCAATTGCTACTCACCCTTTTCATGTCTGTTTCCGATTCTCATCTCAGTGTGTTCTTAAGTCTTCCTCTTTTCAATGTCTCATCACGAATCAAAGTTACAACATGCTTCGTGATGACATTCGATAATTTCCTCAATGTATATCTTATTCAGATACAACGTCTTTCCTTATTTCCTTTTCAGGTGCAACCTGGTTTGTTATATCACATAGTAGGCTGTTACTGATGGTATCCAGTCAACAGACATTCGGTATCTTACGTGGACAATTGTTTATAAATATTTGTAATATTTTGATCATGGTTGTAGTAGCTCTGCGAGTTTGATCTCCGTACAGTAGAACTATTTTAACGTTCGTATTAAAGACTTTGACTCCGAAGTTGACTGATAGTTGTTTTGAGTTACATGTGTTCCTTAATTGTAGGAGTGCCGCCCTTACTTCGCTAATCCTCGCTTTTACGTCTGCATACATAATAATTTATTGTCAATGATAAGCTAAAGCACGTAATTATTATTATTATTATTATTATTATTATTATGCAATATATATATATATATATATATATTATAGGATACAATCATGGTTGTTATTTTTCTAATTTCTTTTTACATACAGTTTAACTTGGCATTTTTTATCAATTTATTACGGGTGATATTTAACAAAACACAATCGCAACCAATGAGTGATGCCAAACGTTTAAGGTATGTAATAAGTTACATAAGATTTAGTTAATTTAAACTCGATATTTTAATTATAGAATCCAAATGAAGACAAATTATCAAGGCTAACTTACTTTAACATGAAGTACTGTAATGTTTTTGTATCTGCTCCATTATTGAAGTATTTTTGATATACCGTCTATAGGGAGGACTGTTTATACTACCTGTATTTTCAAATAAATGGAAATATTTAACATAATGAAGTCAAATTCGGTATTCCATGTTTCGTATAATGAAATGATTTCAATTGAATAACAATTTAAAATGAAGATGTTCTAGACTGTAACTTCGTTCTGTCAAGGGACTTCTCAGAAGACAAAACCTATGACCCTACCTGGATTTGAACTAAGATCTTAAAATCTTACAGTGAATGTTCAAAATTCAAACGAAGCTGACACTCAGTGCTTCATATTTCTATAAACCATGAAATTTTGATAATCCCTAGAAATCTCTGTTGTAATGATAATTCTAAATCACTTTAAATGATTACTGAACGAAGTCAGTCATGAAAGCATAACTGTGGAACTTGATTCCACCTTGGTTTTAAGTATGTGTTAACTGAGAACCACAAGAATACAAAATAAATATCTGTTGCTTTTTTATTGGTTCATTCATCTGATAATTGAAAGATTACGAGTTTATAATATTTACATATTTGACTGGTTCTATTTTATGAGTGCTACATACTACTCATTACCATTAAGTACTAGAAGCTTACTGAGTATTAATGGTTCATTAACGTGTTGGTATTAAAAAATCTATTTTAGATTTTTGATTGCGATCGGAGAAATCGTTTGTCTTTCTATATCTGTTATGAGAAACAGACTACATTGAGACGTTAATTATTATTCAAAAAGCGTTACTAGCTGTTTTCTCCTTTATTCATGATCACTGAACCCAGAAACATTGTCAGTTAATTAATTCATCCAGAAAATAACACTTGAGTCATGTATACGCAAAATATCTTACAAATTATTTCTCTACACACACAACTAAAGTTTTACATTGTGAACAGTTGAATCACAGACAGTGTAATGTAAACTGAGGCTTTTATCTTTCGAAATCTTCATCTAAATTTTATAAGTGGTATCAAGAGGCTCAGTGTTGAAATTGTGCTACATGTTACAGAATATACATGATTCAGTTGAACTGTGTTGTTTTCTGTTACGGTGTTTTGATAGGTTTTCCTCCAATCATGTTGTCAAAGTCCACATAAAAACTGATCAAATTCTATCAAATACAATTATTAACATGTAATTTATGAAAACTTATGAAACTTTTTTGTTAAATTACTGATTTCGTGAGGATACGTGTACACGAATAAGCAAGATGGTTTAATAGAAAGATTATAATACTAGATTACATAATACGAGTAATAACAATAGATTTATTGAATATAATAAGATGATTAAAATGAATGAAATACATCGGATAATCAGTACGGAATGCATTAACGAAGAACTCGCATTCCTCAAGAAAAACCAGACTGTTTCATAGAGAAGAATGTGAATAGAAGTAGTTCCAATAGGAAATCTAGTTGTTGTGTCCCGAAGAAAAACCTTTATATAACTCTGGAATTTAATGGTGATCGAACATCAGACGTAATCAAAAATCGTCTAACAAGTGCAATTGAAAGAACATTCAGTGCGGCTAAACTGCGAATAAACTTCACTAGTAGGAACTTATTTTCTGTATCCATAAAAGAAAAGCTGCCGCGTCTGGTCGTCTCCATATGCATCTGCCAATTCACTGCTCTTGTGGAGCAAGGTACATCAGCCGTAGCCAGCACTCGCTTTGAACTCGGATTTGAGAGCATATTCCAATTTGGTTCTTTAAGGGTGAAAGGAAAGCAGTTAGGAGTTCTATACTGTAACACCTAATCGACTTTAATCATTCTACGGATCCACAGTCTGATTTTGAGGTTGTTCATATGATTCGTTCAAATCTACCTAGATTTCTTCGTATCCAACTCTTAAAAATAGCCGAAGCTCTCAGCATTCATGAGCTTAGACCAGAACTATGCGTACAAAAGAAGTACGTCTTATCTTTATTATTACCATGGCCTTAATTAATATTGTTATTATTATTCTATTATTATTATTACTGCATTTGCCTTTACTTATGTCTTATATTCTCATTATTTGTTTTTACACTTCGATGACCTTTAATGACCCTTAATTACTGTAACAAAAACATTTCATTCATTTTAATCGTCTTATAATATTCACTAAATCTATTATTATTACTCGTATTACGTAATCCAGTATTATAATATTTCTATTACATCATCTTGCTTATTCGTATTCACATTTCCTCAAGAAAATAGTACTTTAAAGAATACATTTTCATATACATATACGATTGTATAGCTTGATAATAAATTCGTTGAAAAAGAGATTCCTTCGCTGAACTTCGTATTTTTAATTTTTAATGTTTAAATGGGAATTATCTATCAATTAAATCATATTTAAGATCACTATTGATCAATTGGCCTTGTGGTTGGCTAAGGGAGGAGCGGGGGTTGGATATATTTCTTCTATACGCATAGCTCGTACAGAAGAAATATCTCCAACCCCTGCTCCTTCCTTGGCTAAATCATATTTATCACATTGTATAATTATTTATTATATGGAAACATCTATAATTTCGATGTATTATATACTGTTGTTTCTTTTAATTTGTAGGACATTACTGAAATCTACTTCAGTGCTTGTTATAGTTTTTGGTTTATATCATTTATTTTTAATCCCATTAAATTTAATGCAAATTAATACACATATTAATGGACCTGGATTACTTGAAATAATTAAACTTTATTATGAACAGATAATGGAAGCTTTTCAGGTAAACTGTCTTCGTCATTTGAATAATCTGTCTTAGAACTAATCATAGTTGACAGGTTTTTATTTATTTATTAATAAGTAAGTATTGAAAACCTCAGGGAAATCAAAATTCAAGTAATATATAGTGTGGTAAAGTTGGTCTATCATAATCAACTTTATAATCTAGCCTAGATTGGTAACCGTGTAAAATTTGTTTAACTCAGATTAATCATGTAAGAAGCATAAATTAGATAGTCTAAAGAAATAGCACGGAAAGTTAAACATGAAAGTATCAGTAGAAACTAATGAATCTTGTGGTACGATAGAAAGTATTTAATGCCACTGTAGCAGCCGCCTCCACATCATAGGGATAAAAATTCACATGATAATAAAATGTTACAAAACAAGCACCAACCAAATCATACTTGATGGGAAAACTCTGAAAGAGGTAGAAACCTATTCATACATTTATAGGCGACATTATAGATAAATGGGAAGGATATGATGCAGATTTGAAGAAAAGGATTTGCAAGGCACAGGAAACATTCCTACAACTGGAAATCATGTGATACTTAATCATCAGTCAGCATCAGAGTCAAGGTGTTTAATATGAACGTTAAGATAGTTCTACTGTACGGAGCTCAAACTTACAGAACTAATGCAGCCATCATCAAAATAGTACAAGTATTTATACGTCTACGTAAGATACCTAATGTCTGTTGACCGGTTATCATCAGTAACACATTATTATGTGACATAACAAACCAGGTTGCATCTGAAGAGGAATTAAGGAAAAGACGTTGTATGTAAATAGGATATACATTGAGGAAATCATCGAGTATCATCACGAGGAATGTTGTAACTTTGAATCGTGATGAGAAATTGAAAGGAGGAAGATCAGAGAACAAAAGATATAGGTAATTATAGGCAAATATCGATATAATAAATAGCAAGTGGAAACAACCAGGAAGGACAGCATAGGATAGAGTAGGTTGGTAATTCTTTTTCAGCGGCCTATGATAGAATAAGAGTAGCAGAGGTAGGTAGGTAACCAAGTAAAAAGTATGGAATCAATGTGCTTTGCCTTGTTGTTTGAAATCATTTGATACTTAGTATTAGCAAAATATTTATTGAATGACATTTTGTATATGACTGCAGTTTACCATTGCTTAAACGTATTTGATCCGACAGACATGGTTTTCTATATCAGCATCAGTCATCTTTAGGGAGTTTAAAACACGCATTTTTAATGTATGAAACAAAGTTTGTTAAATAACCAATAATAGATCGTGGATGCGCATTACTGAGGAGTCTCACAATAGAACGAAATGGCCTTCCAGTGCTTCCAGGTTTTCCTTGGTGGTTTAGCTTCAATTGACTCATGCTTTCGACTATGAAAATAGATGTTTTGTCATATCAGTGTTACTAGTAAGATAAAAGATATCATTGAATAACTATCACCTTCTTGATGTTTATTCATCTGAAAATAATGTGAATATAGGATGTTAAATTTCACTAATATTGTTACCAAATTTCAAATATGAAATGTTCTACCACATTTAAACAAGAATCAAATCTAAATAAACAACTAAGGAATGTATTCAGATACAGAAAATGATCGTTACAGCAAAGTTAAATTTCATTTATATTTGACAAGTTGTCATTTTGTCAATGTAATAACAAAGAGTTGTACCAATTCTTAGTAAAGGACAAACGTTTTTTTCATTTTAAACGTGAATTAAAGAAACGAAAATGTAAAGAAACTTAAGGAGCCCATTTTAGGCAGTAATAACGGAATATAAATGATACAGTAGTTCCTAACACATTTACACTTGTTTAGTATTTCTTGTTAAATTTGAACCGGTAGTATTTGTTAACTCATAATTATCTGACACGTACTCCATATTCACCCTATTTCAATATACTATTTAACCATGAACATGTACACATAATACATATAATAAACAATATGAGTCCAGTTGAATAATCTAAAGTTTCCTCAGCATTTCTATTCAGGCAGGTGACTTAAAAACTTTATTATTTTTTGTCGAAATGACTAAACGAACGCATTCAAAACCAACTAGTAATGCTTAATTAAGTTATTTCCTGTTTCGACTAAGATGCTTATTGTAGTCACGTTAGCTAAATATTGCAATATTTGTTTTTATGATTTTCAGGGTTCATTTGTCGCCATTCTACTTTGTTTTATCAATAAAGAGGTAACTTGCAATCAATGTAATGTGTTTATATTTATTGATGTATATTCCTCTGAAAACAATTTCATTTCATCAGTGTTAAATAAGTACATTATGATGTAACTAGACCCTCTCACAGTTCAGTTTGTATATTTTAATGCTTAGCGACTTTAGTCAAACCACTGATAGACATCAAACGGTAGAGAACAACTATTTCATCTTAGCATAGAACTTCACAATATTGCTCATACATGACTGAGACAGTGAAGAAACCTTGAGCTTTCAGTTCACAGGTTGAGCAGATAACTTATAATCTACTGGGCTTTCATCAAATATTCCACTTTTCCAACCTTAATAAATATTTATGAGACAGTTATTACCAATGCTAATGTTTGCTGGTCGTGTAATATCACAAATATGAAAGCTGTAAGAAAACTATGAGCTTAATAGTCTAAGAGTTCAACGTCAGGCTGCAATGACTGTCCATAGTCCTCCGACTTCCTAGCATTTATTAGTCCATGATCAAAGCCTTAGACTAAACCTTACTTATACAGTAAGTAGAGGTAAAATTTGAGGAATTATATTAAAACTATTTTTGCATATTATATTGCATAAATTAAAATTAAAGCGGCTGGGCTGATTACTGCTGGTAACCAGACTTATGAACATGACTTGGCGGAAAAGTACTTCTAAGGGAAAATGAGTAGTATGAGCGGTTGAGATAGTTAAAAGGCAGATGGTGATTTCGATAACAACAATTTTTTCCAATATACCCTAACCTCGTCTTATTACTTATAACTATAATTTGATTAATAGCTGGTAATTATACAATCAGTCAGTTAGTTAGAAGCAACTTAAAACTTCACGCCAGTCCCTTCATATATTCCTAAGAAAAACGAATAGGGTACATGTAAATTCATATGACTTGAATTTAATATTTCGCAATTGATTATCTATTCTCACAATAATTATGTATACATTATAATGTCAATAAATCTTTGTCCGCTATATTGCAGGTTATTTCTGAATTTAAACGTGTTTATAGACGTAAACAATATCTTCAAAGTAATACAGAAAATCGGCGTCAAAGTGTTTGGTTCAATAATCAAGATGCAGAATATGAACCTGGTGAACGACAGATAGATATTAAATCTGGAATTAAATTATCAAAAAGCCCATCTTTAAGTGTAAGACAGAAGTCTTTTGCCGACAGATTTCATAAAATAATAAAACCTCGGTCGAATGATAAGTTCCAAAGACCATCTGGTTTAAGAAGACCATCACCCCTTTGTCGAAATAGCGCAATCATAACAGAATAAAAATATTTACAATAATATTACCTGCATAATCATGAACTTATAGTACAAATTCTTATAGATATTGATATTACTTGTCCTCCAGGATATTTTCAATCTTCATTTCCTTCTGAAACTATCTAATTAAGACGAGTCCAGCCTTCCTTCTATATAAGACTGTCAGATAGAGTTTTTCAAGAGGTATAAACTTCAATTGATAAAGACGAACAGGATCTACTTCTTACGGTTCCAACACATTTCAGTGTTAAATGATGTACATTTTTTCAGATTATTGATGTAGATGAACATGTCTTGGATAAAAAGCAAAACTCATTCAAATGAATTCTATTCTATTTGATTATAAAAGTATATATTTTGTTGAATATCTTTTCTTTTTTAACCAACTTCACTGCTGTACAAAAGATGATTCCTTTAAAACGAACTGAATGAAAAACTAGTATTGTATTATTTTGATATAAAAGCTTGACAACAAAAACAAATATTTTTTAAATGATTAACATATTTATGATTAGATAGATTAATATAATTAAATAAAATCGGTTAAATTCCCATTTATTCAATTACAACTGAATTTTTAATGATTATTATAATCATAAAAGGTAGTTTCTTGTAGCTGTAAATAATTACCCAAATACAAAAGCTTTGTAAGTGTTCGACATTGGATGCTGACCACATGAGTTTAAGTGGACTTGTTTAGCTGAAGGCTCTCGGTCATGCATCCGTACTAGATCACGTTACAGCACGGCGTGGGAAAAATCTCTTATGATCATTAGCCAGATTAGATCAATCGCTTCTCGATATATTGATAACGCATCAAATATATCTTCCAACCTCTTCACTTCTGACTTCTGATTTTAACTGGGTGGGCACGATTCGATTATAGGTGTTACTGGTAAAGAGTCGTCAAACTACAATACTGGTTGTATCTTCATTCTTATTTATAAGCTTGGTTTAAAACTAAACTATTGCAACATTTTTTAGAGGCTGCTTACTGTTTTTTGTTTTCTATATTATCACACATCAATACGGTAAACTAGTAATCTTGAGAGAAGTGGTCCTTCTGTGCAATTCGAACCTAGATTATACTGTATTACAACTGAAAATACGAGAGTAGGGACAGCTCACCAGTAGAAATTGTCGACACCATAATTTATAGACGACTTTTGAACAAATCTTAAGTGACCTTAGAAATATTGGCCAATAAGAAGACAGTATATAGTAAAAATATATTATACAACATCAAAGAATTAGAGTGAGTACACCTCTTTTACATGGTCCAAAGACTTGTCAAGGTTAGAAAGAGGTTCAAAGGTTATAAAATCGTAATGCATAAGGCTCTATAATAGTCGGTATCTGGAGCCATAATAAGGTCAAAAAACTCTTTCAATATCGAACACATAGCTTCAATATTGTTTGTATGTACTCCGGTTGTGTAAGTTTGTAATTTTTATTACGCATATATCCCTACAACACTCATATCTATGAACAGCCGAAGCTTCAGTAACATCTGTGATTATTACAACCACTGTTACTGGTGCCTTTATTATACAGTTTGTGGCAATTATTATAATATGCCTTAGTCTCAATCTGAATCGAGCAATAGAGTTTCCTATTCTAGCAAACTTCTTCCATCAACATATATTACATCAAAGGACAACATCAGGGTAGTCTGCACAAGGTCTACAAGTCCTTTAATACCCGCAATTACAAATACATGAACTTCTTAGCAGTCTCATTTGTTGTAACCGCTTAATTGTCAAGGCTTCCCTAAAATTCTCTGTGAACCTATCGTAAATGATCATCAGGTACTGAAATTGGCTCCGTGACCTTGAAATTCCTCAAACGCTTCTGACTGGCTAACCCATAAACTATAGTCTCGCTTAGAAATCTAAGTGCTTCACCATGCATAATTAAAATTAGCTAACAATAATCCGTTTTTAGGCATCTAAAGTTAATATTCTTTGAAATTATTACTCATAAATGAAACTTTACGTCTCAATGGTCAAAAGGTTTTAATTTCTAATTATTTACAGTGTAATCTTTCAATGGAGTGAGAATGTTCAAGAAGTAAAGAAAAACCTCGTTAACCATTTCTGTCATTCTCTAATCTTATTAATTCATATTTCATCATAGTTGAAGAAGATATTAAACTAACCATATAAATTAGTTTAACAAAAAGGATATGAACTGTGAAGATAAGATATTTGACAAATCTGACTGGAAGTATAATAACTTAACATTTCATATGAATAAATTGCTTAACAGATTTACTTTGTCAGTATGGGGTTAAGGAAATCGTTGAGTTTTTGATTCAGATCACAAATCGATCAATGATAGACTGCCATTGAAAACCGGAAAGCACTGAGTGACCCTTTCGTCTAAGTATGGGACTCCTCAGTAGTACAAATCCATTATCCATCACTGGGATTAGAACCCAGAACCTTTGGTCTCGCGCGCTAGACTACTGAGCCGGCATCAAACGATGTTGATGCCTAACTTTAAACACATTAGTTTACAAATAAATATTTAGGAACTGATGGATGCATTGGAAGCTTTAAATCCAACGTAATAAAAGTTTTTCTTCTTGTCGTTATAATAAGTATATTCTTCTGCCTTATTTGAATAAGACTATCCATTTCAGTCAAGTTTGAAAAATATACCTAACTGTCGATGAAAGTAGATGGTTTGTTTAGAGAATAATTCGTTCTGTTTCAGATGTTATATAGTATCAATATTTTACTTTGGCATATTCGTTTTAATATGTCAAGGTAATATTGTCTGAATTCTATACTGGTAGGTTATTGACATTATTCTGTTACTTATAAAAAACAACTGCATCCTTGATGGACTGTAATATTGTGTTGACTTTTGTCGTTGTCAGGAGACTTAAATATTTCCAACTCATATCTATATTATATATATATGAGATCATGAGTAAATTGAAGATAAACCACCATGGAAAACCTAGAAGCACTGGACATTAATAATTATGAAAATTATAAGTTTGTTATTTTATATATAATGACCGGTTAATAAAATTTTCATTTAAAAAACTAATAACTGTATCTTATCAGAAAGGAGGTTTTGTCGAGACTAGTAATTTAACAACTGAATTCATAAGTCGATTAAAGCTAGATCGCCTCGAAAAACCTGTAATCACTGGACGGACGTTTCCTTTTAGTATAGGACTTCTGAGCAACGAGCATCCACGATCCACGATGTTCAAAAATAAAACATTGAACAATAATGTTATATAATTCAACCATTCTTCTGTTTGACTTAAAATACTTAAATTTGTATATCAGTAAAATGTTGTGAATAGGTAGTTAGTTTTAGTTAACCTAGTAGTGCTCAATCACTACCCTTTTCAATAAAACGATAGATTTCTTTGATTTACTCCTTCTTAGTATCCTTGTCTATATGAGTATATGATTTGTTTAGAAATTGGATTAAATGTCTACTGAGTATTAGGCGCATACAAGTGGTTTTGATATCGAATAACTTAAAATATGTTTTAATTCACTAAACTGATGTGGAAAGTATTCATTGATCAATTCGAAAATACTAAATATAATGCCCAAATGTTTCAAATATTTTATTATATTTAATTAACATTAGGCGACGATAATTTGTATAAGGAAATTTTTATAATTATTGCAAACAATATAATTATCGATCGGACAAATCACACATAAACCCGTACAAACAGTCTAGAGTCTTCATCGGTCCTACTCTCTGCCTACCCCTGCCTGTTAGAGTCCAAAACAACAATCTCAGCCTCCGCGGTATGAATCATTCATTTCAAACATACTGGGTTTATATACAAACCATATCTTACCATAAAATAGAAAACATTTGTAAAATATCTAGCCAAAAGTGGCTGTGAATGTATGAAACTGTAATTTATAGAGTGGGCATAACGGTAAATCGCATAATAATAGTCTATAGGTCAAAATAAGGCTTGTAATAGGAGTATAGATGTACATAATCTAGTTACTGAATAGTTATACAATAAGAATATACGTATAATTTTTGTCCATAAATAGTTCTCAAAAGTTACCATTCGTAATTCTCGTTGGGATATATCAGATTATTTTATAGAATGAGAGAAACTGTGATCACTACTTAAGAGATGTATTGATTAAAAATTAAGGAAAAGTGGAATAAATCATAGTTGACCTAGAAGTCGAACTTTTCTGCGTAAATCGATTGCCTTGCCGGAACTGGAGTTATTCTGTGAAGTCCCTTGGTATGTTTGCATTCTGATCATTGTTTCATTAATGCTATCCAATAACTTTATTTGATATCATAACGCAATTTTAAGTCAGATGTTCCTTATGCACTACTAGCAACAATGTTTGGCTCTCAGTACTGACCTGTTTTTTTATCATTCTGATAAACATTTGTTAAGTGAAATGACATCGTCATATAAGGGATAACTGATCTTCAAAAGGCTCAAACTCTATTGATATTTGCAGTCAACGGTAATCTTTAGAGCTGATATTAGTTCAAACCTTGAATAACAAATACATTAATAGTAATTCAAGTTTAAGTGTCCTGAAATATATATCTACAAAACTCCAACATCATTTTAGATGTTTTCACTTGACAGTCCACTTGTGATATATGACTACTATTATCGACAAATCAGTGCTGTTGTACCAAGTTAATCCTCTTTTTTGGTCTATGATATTTCCACTTTAGGCTACTAACGGTTCTGTAAACAATAAGGTAATATCTGACGAAATGTTTTATTGATACATTTTACATGGTGTCGATTAATAATATATAATGGCGTATCGACAACATATTCTTATAACCCTATTTGGTAACAAACATGTGTAAATCTTATCCATACATAGTAACATGTCATTAGTGTGTTGTGTACTATTGATGCTGGCAGATATAAGTAGTCTGTATCATCAATTAAAAGTAAAATACCTGGAGGCAGAAAGTTAAGAAAATGGAAGAGAAGAGAATGAAAGCAATAAATGATTGGTGTAGAATCAAAAGAACAATGAAGTCTAAGATAATTGACGGATATTTGCAAAAGGAACATTGAATTTTAAGACAATTGATTGACATTTAGTAAAGTATTTATCGTGTGGTTCTCAAGTTTTACTAACACTTTCTGTAATTTTGTATTCAAATACATTCAATCATCCCCACCTGTGTTCTTGTTCATTACAATAGTGATATAGCAATAGTAATTAGTAACCTTTGAAAACATTCTATCTATTTAAACATCAGCAATATCAACTCTTTTGTATAACAAGTTGTTTGTTTCTCTCTTTATATGTAAATATAATGATGAAAAGATTATGCGTCTATGATCTTTTAAATTAGATAAAAAAATATAAAAGAAATCAAAACTTTTCCAATGATTGTATTTAATTGAAGCATGCTTTATGATGTCAATAGTCTAGTTCGGTAGAATATATTTAAAAGTTATGTACTTTTAAGATTACAGCATTCTCTTTTAAAGTGTACATTGAATACATACAAAAAGTAACGATTACGAATACATTACGGAAGGTCGAAGAGTATGGAAGTATTTATGAATGTACAAGATTATAGTGATAAATTATTATTATTATTATAAATGGTAACATGTTTCTTAGTAGTCTGGGGTACAAAACAAGAGAATGCTATTAATGTATTGAATTAAATTCCTTGAAGAATTTTCTTTTTTTTATTATTTGGAATCTGATTTCGTTGGTAGCTGGAAATGAACTTAATTAACAGTTGTGTTTTCTTTCATTAAGGATAAAATCAATATATGAATTTCTTCTACATCATTTGATTACCTTTATTATGTATTCAATCTGAATTCAAT